TGCTATAAAAGTTTTTTTTCTTACAATGTCTTGGTTTTTAAAGCCCAAACTTGACAGAGCTTAGTCCCTATTGGACTTGTCTGTTATCTTGTTGTTCCTAATACTTACAAGCTCGGTTGTATCCCATTCTTCATTTGGGTTTCACAACTGGGGATCAAAAAGTTATTGCAGAACCGCTTAAGGAAGTGGTTCTGCAATAGTGGCTACAGCCTCCTGCTGTAAAAACTGCCGTGTTTGTGTTGCATTTTTTTTATTTACAGCAGCACTGGGAATTCACATTAGAACCACTGCAGCTTTACAACTCATTTCCCCAATGTGAGGAACGCACGTGCTAGTAGATGTTAGTTCTTTGAAAAAAAATAGCCTTTTTCCCAACTATCTAAAGCACTTTGAGATGGTTAACTACATGAAAGGCGCTATACACAATAAGTGCAAGTTGTTGGTCTTGAAATGTTGGGTGGTGTGGGAGGGAGAATAATATCTCTTTGTATTGTAGAATATTAATTAGAGCATTGCCTCGCAAACGAGAAGACCTGGGTTTGCTTCCTGGGCAGGGTGAATGAAACATTGGGTAAGATTCATTACTCCACACGCCTCTGTTTACTAAGCAGTAAGTGGGAACCCGGTTGTTAGTCGATTGTGCTAATGGCTTTCCGGGGTTAATAATCCCTTAAAAATTAAAAGAAATAAAAAATTGGTCACTCAATCCATGACTGATTGTGGGCAGTCTTTGTATAATTGGCTGCCGCATTTCGCCCACAAAATATACAGTCAATTCACTTTAAAGCATGTTCTACAAAGCATTTTGTTTTGTTCTCAACTATGTGATAAGGCATTATATATCAGATGCAAGGATTATTATTGTGTGAATAAAGGATCAAATAATTTATGCTTTGTCAGTTTCTCATTATGTAATGTTTGGGGTAATATACAACACCTTTAGGATTTGGGATTTTTTTCATCCAGATAGAAAAGTCTTCATCTCAAATTGGAGTGGTTTGTTCTAGGAAACAAACAGTCATTTATGAGTACAAAAATTGCTGTCCTCCAAACAATAAAAAACTCCAAACTGTCGTCCTCCAAATAAATTTTAAAATGAATAAATTTGGTCACTCAATCCAAGACTATATGTTTGACACAGCTGTGTGAAATTGGCTGCCACGTTCCACTCACAAAGCATACAGTAAATTCACTTTACACTATATTCTGTGAAGTGCTTTGAGATATCTCGAAGATGTGATGAGGCGCTATGCAAATGGAAGGATTATTATTATGCTACACTGTAGTTTTGATGCTTGATACTGTATTAGTGACAAAGTGTGTATGTTTTTTTGTTCAGTGTGCTGGGCTTTCATGCAACTACCTTAGTCACTGCTTGTCTTTATTTACACTTTAAAGGATGTGTGGAATGTGGTGATGCACTTATCTGGTCAGGTTTAGTGTCTTCTACAGTTTGATAATTAGCCCTTAGCTGGTTTCATACACACAACATTAAAAAAGCAAATGAGCAAAACAAGTTAAGTTTCTTTTCCCTCCATTTTGTTTTGCGGTTCCAAAGAATAGATTGGGGAAGGAAGGACTTAAATGATCACAAAACGCCATGAGAGTGAATCATTTTTAGAGATGCAGTGGATTCTAATGATAGGCTTACTGAAGGTGCTGTGTCACTGCCCCTAAAGACCCTGAGGCAGTTGAATAATTCTTGATGTCTACTCACTCTTGGAATGTGTGAACATGCTCATCGGGAGATAGGAATGGATCCAGTGCTAGTGTAAACACATCGATATTCCACGCACATTGAGTCACTCACAGTGGCTCAGTAGTGTGCCCATTTTATTTTTGATGTTTTTTCTTTCACGGATCTGTTTTATCCACTAAATCTCCACCTGTTTTACTGGGTTAATTGGCTCTTTATTCTTTTGTGCTCCCTCTGCTCTGGAGTAGGTTGAAGTTTTTATCATTCGCAGCAGTAAGGGAGCACCAAGGCATCTGGCGTGCTTGTGAAACTTCTAGGAAGTATTTTATCATACACGGAAGAACATTACAGGTGGAAGTGAATAAAAATAGAATATTCATTTTACCACAAAACTACACCACACCTAATTTGGACCTGGTGATAGTGTGCATGGCACACAATGCCAGAGAACTTCACAAAAATCTCATACCAGAGCTAGTTTGTACAGTATAGTTCAGTGTTGTATTAGTGTAAAGCCACACATACTGACCTGCAGTGGGACATTTTATTCACTATGTCAGATATACTTTCAGGTTACAGGCTGATACGATTTTACCCATTTCAAAAAATAGCACCTGAAAGAGAAAGTGATCTTTTGCAAACGCTAATGACAGTCTGTGTCTTTGGAACAGTAATATGTAGAGGTTTTTAAAAAAATTAAAATATTCTTTGTGAATAATTCGAAAGATTATCACAATATGCTACATAAGTGAGCTAATGACTCATGGTCAAAATAGTAGTCAAAGAGAAAGGTCTTAAGACAGACCTCGAAGCGGTGAGGGAAGGAGTGAGGTGAAGGGATTCCTGAATGGCGTTCCAGACAGTGGGGGCAGATAGGCTCAAAGCCCAACCACCGATGGTGGGGCTGGCAGGGCGGGTGATGTGAAGCAGGCCAGTGCATGCTGAGTGTAGGTAGCGGGCAGGTTGGTAAGGTTGCAAAGGTAGGGTGGAGCAAGACGTTGGAAGGCTTTAAAAGTACGAGGATGTTGAATTCTATCCTCTGGGGAATGGGGAGCCAGTGGAGCCAGACAAGGATGGGGGTGATTGGCTCGTGGAAGTGGTGCGGGAGAGGACAGGAGCTGCAGAGTTCTTGGTGGAGGGAAGAGTTGCAAAGTTTAGCTTCCACAGAGTTGCCTGGATGAATAATGGTCTCGGCTGCCTGAGAGGAGAGGTCAGAGTACGGATGTAGGGTTTAAAGCACAGTTGAGAGTCAAACATAACACTGAGGTTTTGCACTCGCTCTGTGAGCTTAAGTGTGCATTGTGTAGTTTGATGCTATCAGCATCTGAGGTGAGAAGGTGTTGACTGGAGCCAAGAAGGAGGATGCCTGTCTTGCTGACATTCAACTGAAGAAAATTGGTTCTCATCCAGGACTTGATGTCCGACAGACAACTAGTCAAGGCAACAACAACAACAACAACAAGATTCCATTTATAAAGCGCCTTTCACGTCAGGAGGACGTCCCAAGGCGCTGCACAGTTGGGTCATGACCCGAGCAGGGGGGAAATGGTCAGGGTGAGGGAAGGGAGGGAGCAAGGAGGGGGGAAATGGTCAGGGTGAGGGGAGGGAAGGGAGAGAGCGAGGAGGGGGAAGAGAGTCGAGAGGGGAGCTGAAGGCACGGTCAAAGAGAAAGGTTTTGAGACCGGCCTTGAAGGAGGAAAGGGAGGAGGCGGCGAAGGCACTGGGGAATGGAGTTCCAGAGCCTCGGGGCTGAGAGGCTGAAGGCCCGACCACCGATGGTAGGGCGGTTGGGGCGGGGGACGTGGAGCAGACCAGAGCCAGAGGAACGGAGGGTACGGGCAGGTAGGTAGGGGGATAGTAGGTCAGAGAGGTAGGAGGGAGCGAGGCCGTGAATGGCCTTGTAGGTGAAGATGAGGATCTTGAATTCGATCCTCTGGGGGATGGGGAGCCAGTGGAGGTGAGCGAGGGTGGGAGTGATGTGGTCCCGAAGCCTGGTGCGGGACAGTACACGAGCTGCAGAGTTCTGAATGACCTGCAGCTTGTGGAGGGAGGTGGCGGGAAGGCCGGCGAGGAGAGAGTTCCCATAGTCCAGCCTTGAGGTGACAAAGGCGTGGACCAGGGTTTCAGCAGCGTGAGGGGTGAGGTAGTGCCGTAGTCTGGCGATGTTCCGAAGGTGATGGAAGGCGGTGCCAGTTGTAGTGCGGATGTGAGGGAGAAAGGACAGCTCAGGGTCGAACAAAAGAAAGGACAGCTCAGGGTCGAACAGGGTCGGCAGGGATGCCGGAATCATGGGTGGAAGCAAAGACATAGAGATGGGTGCCATCTGCATACATGGGGAAGTTAACCCCATGCTTGCAGATGACATCACTGAGCGAGAGGGTAGTGCCCTGAGGAACACCGCACCTTTCGGGCGGGAGGAGAAGGCGTGAGCAGAGAAGTAGGGAGAATGAAACCAGGAAATGACAGAACTGTGAGGTGGAGCTGAGAGGAATGGTGGTGGAAAACAAGAGTGGGGAAAACAACAAAAAAAGTAAAGCTGTCTGACAATCATTAAAACTGGGGTTTCTGATTTTCATTTTTAACCGATAAACAATAAAATACTCTGATACAAAAACAATGAAATTGGTGTTTATGCAATAAATGGTTGCTTATCTCGCAGATTAGGTTCTCTTTTTCTCTCGGCGACGTTCTGGTGTACCAACTGTACATTTGTCGCTCTCTGCTTGTCCCTCTCGCCTGTGTGCCATCTGGAGTGAAGGGCGCTATATAAATGCTTGTTGTTGTGTGCATAGGTGCGTCTGGTGAAGCAATTGAGCGGAGGGAGGCATGCTCGCTCTCACGCGTGTGCACAGCCATGTCTTCTCTTTATAGTATCAAAAGCCCCGACAACTACTGATTTATAAAGATTCTAAAATTGCTAAAAATAAACTGAAAATTAGAAGCCCTAATTATAACAGTGTATTCATCAGTTTGTTCAGCACCTGCATTGCAATAATTCTGCAGAACAGGTTATACAAAGTACAGGTTAGTGTTTGAAGAGTATGAAGGTCTGAACTCTGCAATGCAAAGGTTTGAGGAACTGAACAAATCCTGTTAATTGTGTGGAGAGTTAGCAGGTTTCAATGTGTCCTGGTGGATAAAGAGACTTGCATCAATATCTCTGCTCTCAATTCCTTCAAAGCTCAGAGCCTCATTCCACAGGGAATGATGCAAGATGATGAGAGGAGAGGGGTTTAGATGAAGAAGACTCTTTTGCCCATTTGATGTAACCCTTTCAGAATGACCTACTCTGTTCCTGTTACAGCTGGGGAGATGGGCATGGAGGACATTTGAATAGCCAAGGCGGGAGGTGACAAAGGCGTAGACGAGGGTTTCGGCTGCATTCGGTGTGAGGTATGGACGGAGGTGAGTAATGTGACGGGGATGAAGGAAAGCAGAACTGGGTGTAAGGTAGGAAGGATAGCTACGGATGGAAACCACGCCCAGGTTACATGTCATTTTATATAGAGCATCACGTTTGTTTCTTGGAAAAAAATATCTTCTGTGGTCAAACTAACGCTTTTGTCTTGATTTTTTTTAGTAAAGTGATTCTTTTCGTCTGAATGAGGAAGCAAGGCTACTTCCCACTATGATGGCAAGTTCCACATCAGATGCAGTGCTTCAGACAAGTTATGAAATCGTTCGGCTGCAGTAAGCTTGTGTTTACGTTAGAGAATGTGAATTGTGCAGAGGGAAGGCTGGAATGGGACTGAAATCACCACCATGTCATCATCCAGTGAGGCTGGCAGGGACATCGCAGACTGGCTGACCGGTATTCATCTGGAGCAGTACACAATTCATTTCAAAGAGTCTGGCTACTGCACAGTAGGGGCCTGTGAGCACGTAAACAATGAGACTCTTCTTGAACTCGGGATTGCTCCGACCGGACACCGTAAGAGAATACTTAGACAACTGTTCTGTGAGTTTCCACCAATGCAAGACGAGGCAGTGGGATCCCAAGCTCTTGATAAACAGGAGAACAAAGGCAATAAGCGAGACAGCGACAATCAGGGTGTTGCTTTACGCAGTCCACCTGCAATAGAAGAGATTGAAAAAAGCACTCCTGTGTCAAAGCCGAGAAGGATTTATGCTAAAAGTGGTTTAACTTCAGATCGCCCCGACCCAGCGCACTCTGATGGATGTGTCATCTCAAAAAGGAACACATTTCAGCCTCCTCAAGTGGCGCAGGTTGAAGGACAGCAGAAATGTTCACATGGCAAAGGCCTAAAACTGCATATTCCTGAGCCCGAGGATTCCTCTTTCAGTTCATGCGAACAACAGGGCGACGTGAAGAAGGATAATCCAGCCGATGGTCGCCCACCACTTCCACCGCGGGTGAATCAGGGCACTCCCCCTCTCCCATTCACTGGGGATAAGGCACAGTTGCCTTCTGCTTCTGCTGATTCTTCAGATTGCACTTCTACAAAAGAGACTTCAGTGGAAGCCGATCAAACACCAACCTCTCCTTTCTTTGAATTCAGAGGAGAAATGAGAGCGAATGCTTTGTATGATGGAATACAGATTGTTCCAGACCAGACTCTTATGGGAACTTCGAGGGAATCTGATCTGAGGAACAGGCCCCCTGCAGAGCTTCCCAGCCTATGTGCGGCACAGGCTGTACCGCTCTGTGCTGCAGACAACAGGTGCAGTTGCGTTTTATATTCGGCATTATTTTAGGTTTGACTTGAGCGTTTTGCGTACTGAATATTTATTTCCTCTTTTCTGGAGGGAAGGAGGGAGGGGCAGATTTGTTGATCTGGGATTTTACAAAATTAGGAACAAAAGAGGGTTATTGAACCCATCGACCCTGATCCATCATATTATTAATTCATCACAGCTGTCTGTATGGAGCTCATCATGTGGTGTAAATCTGAACTGCTTGTACCCAATTCCTCTGACAAACAGCTTTGTTTAGCTAAACACAAGCCTGATACGCATCCCCAGACCCTCGACCTCCACCACAGTGGCCAAGCCTTGAGCTATCCCTAATCTCTCAAACTCCTTGCCTCAATTCCTCCTCCTCTCCCCTCTTTCTTTAAATTCTATCAGAAAACCTATCTCTTCAACTGCGTCTATGGTCACCTTCCCCTTTCTCGCTTGCTAAACGTCCATCCCTGATATCCTCCATGAAGGGCAATGGGGTCCAAGTTGTTGACAATGAGGTATAGAATGCGCAATGTGTAAACTATATAAATCTGATGTCTGAACACCAATGGTGCTAGAGCCTAGAGCTCAGATAGAAAGGGAGAGTTGGTGATATTTGTGAACCCTGTGCCTGCAAATGATGTCACTAAGAGGGAGTATGCAGATGAAAAAAAGGGAGAGGACTGAGGATGGATCCCTGATAAAGGCCACACTTGGCTGTATGGGGCCAGGAGGAGAAGCCATTAGAAAGGATATAGTGAGGATGCTAGAATGGCAAGGAGTGGGACCAGGAAAGTGTGGAGGGCTAACATCTCTCCTCCCTGATAGTTTTTAATTAATACAGAAACTAAATGCCCCAAACTAAGACATGTTTTTGTTAAATAGAAATGCTCAAAAAGAAAAAAATCTTTAATACTGCTTTCAGTTGTACATTCAACAATAGATTATAAATGTGAACCATTACAGAAAACCTGTCAGTTTCACAGTTTTAACATTGGTATATTTAATTGTTGTAAACTACAGTCGTGACAAAACAGCAATTAAGTTTAGACAGCAAGTTTTGCTTTATATTGAAGCTTGCTCAATGCACTTTTTTATGTTTTTTTAATAACACAAGTTATTTTTAATCATGGCTTTTGTCCTCAACCTGATGACAATGCATTCCCATGAGATTACATATAAGTTCGCAAGTAGAAGTTTTTGTTGTGGTCTAAACCTTTATTGTTGAAAATATCAAAATCATAGAATTCTTTCCAGTGTTCTATGTTGTTTTCCAAAATGTTCCAATCTTAGTTTACATCGTCTTGCCTTCAATGCCGTCGGCAGCTGTTGTTTAAAAGCCAAAAAGCAGATGATCAAGAGCTATTTCAATTTGCATTCAAAGAATTGCTTTAAAAAGCATTTTCTCTTTGGCTCAATCCATTTTATGCTACTCCTTTCTTGATGGTCCGACAGCAGGATTGTTTAAAATCCATTAGATTTTTACCTGGCTGCTATTGTGTAACTGTTGTGCAACTTTGTGGATTGTTTGTTTTTAAAGTAAATATTTGAAGAGCTATTATACAGCGTGCTTGCAATTATTAAGGCTAATACTCACTCTCTTCTGCATTGAAGAACATTCAAAATTAATTTTTGGACTTATTTTGTATTCTCAAATATCGTGTTTGGGCTGAAAAAGTAAGAACTCTGAGTACCTCCATAAAGCTAAATAAATAATAATTTGGGATTTGATTTAGCGCCTTTTATGTCAAGAGGCCGCCTTCAAGTGCTTCAATAGTAATGTACAGAACTGGAAAAAACCATTGCGATAAGTTTCTGGCTAGTTCCATTTTCTAACATGCTGTTTGCTACTTTCAGTGCTCTGAGGCACTATCGTGCATAACCAACAACAACAAATTACATTTGTAAAGCTTCACCTTTCACATCGGGAGCACGTCCCAAGGGACTATTTAAATGTGGAGTCCTGTAGCTCAGTGTTAAAGCACTCACCTCGCAAGCGAGAAACCTAAGTTCAATTCCTGGCAGGGCGATACCTTGGGCAGGTTTCCTTACTCCACATGCCTGATAATAATCCTTCAAGAAAAAAAACTATTAAAGTATTAAAAAAAAACTATTAAAAATGATGCTATATGAATGTAGGTTGTTGGTAAAAGCACTGATAAATATATTACTATGATTAAAGTCTTAGCTGTTCCCAGGATGTATTCTTGATCTGTGCTGAGTTATAACTGATCTCACCTGGAGAGGTGAAGGTGCTCCAATTGACATTAATGCTCCTGGGTTACGGTGGGGAGTCAGCAAGGTCTGCCACTCCTGGCTAATAATAATAATAATAATAATCCTTGCATTTGTTTATAGTGCTTTTCACGTCTTCTAGACGTCCCAAAGTGTTTCACAGAATATACTGTAAAGTGAATTGACTGTGCACAGCAATGTCCCACAAACAGTCGTAGATTGAAAATGACCAATTTATTATTGTTTTTGGTTTTGGAGGGATTATTATCAGGCTCTGTGTGGAGTAAGGAAACTTGCCCAAGGTTTCGCCCTTTGCCTGGAATTGAACTCAGGTCTCTCGCTTGCAAAGCGAGTGCTCTAACCACTGAGCTACAGGACTCCATGTTAACCCATATTGGAAATTGTCAATTCTGTGAATGTGTGTTAAGGATTGGCCTGGGATATATCTGATTCTCCGTGGGGGAATTATCCTGGGTAGTCAGCAGGATTTAGAGGAGAAGACTAGTCACTGGGAATGGGATTCTTTCCACTGAGTTCCTGTTAACTCAGCAAACCAAAGCTCTAAAAAAGAAGTAGGTCCTAGCTGGTCAAGCATGGGGAAGTTTGTTACAGAGTCTTTTCAATGGCAAGCTATGTGGTTCTATGTTAAACTTTAGTACTACCCCAACTCACAAGCTGTTACAAATCTGATCATAGTTTCAGGGATTAGGTTAGAAAATTGTGTCCCTCCAGGGAGAGGGTGCACATCCCATTACCAGACAAAATGATAATTTCCATAAGTTTTTGAACTCTCAATAGTTTGGTATAGATCAGTGGCGGCCAACCTATTTTGTCGGGTAGCTAAATTCATTTTCTCGATTGAATATGTTTTGATTAATGTCTAACTCAGAAAAAAATGGAAACAAAACATTGATTTAAAATAAACTCATCTAGACGAGTGAGAATGCTCGGCAGGCCACCTCCTGAAGGTTTATGTTTATTTGCAGAGCCTATGAAACAGCCAAAGTGCCCAGTGGTTAATGTAGCATGAGGCATAGTCGCAACCACATTATTATCTAATTTTGCTTATTATCGATAAAAGATGCTGTAGTGACATTTGCTGTCCGCCTAACGTGAAAGGCGCAATACAAATGTAATTTGTTGTTGTTGTATTAAACCTACTGTGGTTTGAAAATAGTGAGCCTGACATTGCAAGGGGATAGTTCAAGCTCAAATTTCATTTGAGAAGTTCTTTTTCATCCATTCATTTTAGCTATGGTATCTGGCTGGGAGATCTCTTTCAAAAATCAACTTCCTCTCATTATCAGCGGTCAAAGTATTTTACAACAAATTAGTCCTTCCTCTATTGAAGGTTAAGTGTTCATGATGACAAGGCATTATGTTTAGATGAAATTCTGTGGCTGAGTATTCATTTAGAGGGAGAATTTGCTCAGATATAAATAAATATGTTGTGGGCACAAAATTGGCTGCAATGTTTGCCTCCAAAAGACAATGTAAAAGTTGTATAAAAGTCAGTATTACGAACCACTTTACAGCAAATCCTGTAAAGTGCTTTGAAATGCTCTGCTGATGTGAAAGGTGTTATGTAAAATAATAAGGATTATTGTTATCATAACGGCCAGGACTTCCTACTGGAAAGGAGCAATAGGTTGCAGGAGTAATAGTTTAGACCAGAATTGCTGCTTCATATGGTAATATTCTTGATCAGTAGTGCGACTAGCTGATTACTGAGCTTGTAAGATGCAAATAACTTCACATGTAGGCATAGTTACATTTTAATTAGAATGCAGCTAACCCAGGAGATGTCTTTTGGAGATGAAGGATGAATTGCATTTTTCATATTAACCTTCTGTTAGGAGCTCAGTGAACTAGTTTCAAATCATCTTATTCCCCAATGTAAATAGTGGAACAAGGTTTCCAGAGCCACCTTTTTAAAACAGATTCTATCCTTTTAATTTCATTACTTTAACTGAAGTCAGTGGGGGAGTTTGGGAAGCGATTCTAATGCTGATTAACACTTTTAATCTGAAATGTTTTAATGTGAGCATGCTGAGTCCAATAGATAAAGGCACTCTGCTATGTAACAACGGAGGAATCTGAAGCAGAAGGTTGTGGGTTTGATCACTAACCTTTGCTGAGTAGGAAAGGAAAAATCAGCCAGGGTTCTTGCTCCTGATTTACAATCTTTCACATTGGGAGGACGTCCCAAGGTTCTGGACAGACAAAATTACGGACCCAAGTTGGGGGTCTGGGTGGGAGAGGGTAGAGGGCAGGGGGGGAAGCAGGGAGATCGAAGAGGAGGGTCTTGAGATGGGTCTTGAAGGTGGCAAGGGAGGGGCGAGACGGAGGGACTGCGGGCTGGAATTACAGAGGGTGGGGGCAGAGTGGCAGAAGGCCCACCCTCCAATAGTGGGACGAGCAAGGTGGGGGACGGGAAGCAGGCCGGAGCCTGCTGAGCAGAGGGAAGGAACAGGATGGTAGGGGGTTAGGAGGTCGGAGAGGTAGAGGGGAGCAAGATAGAGGGGTTTGTAAGGTGAGGACCAGGATCTTGAACTGTATCCTCTGTGTGATGGGAAGCCAGTGGAGTTGGGCAAGGATGGGGGGCGATCGGATCGCGGAGCCTAGTGTGGGAGAAGACACGGGCTGCAGAGTTCTGGATGATCTGCAGCCTGTGGAGAGAGGAGTTGGGGAGGCCGAGAAGCAATGAGTTTGCATAGTTGAGCCTCGATGTAATGAAGGCATGTATGAGAGTTTCAGCGGCCTGCGGTGTGAGACAGTGTTGGAGCCGGGCGACGTTGCGGAGGTCGGGGAAGGCAGAGCGGGTCATGGCGCAGATGTGGGGTAGAAAGGATAGTTGAGGGTCAAACAAGACCCAAGGTTCCAGACTGGCTTAGCGAGGTGGAGTGTGCAACCATGGATGGTGATGCTGCCAGCGCCTGAGGTTAGGAGGCACTGATGGGAGCCAATAAGGAGAGACTCGGTCTTGTTGATGTTCAATTGAAGAAAGTTATCTCTCATCCAGAATGTCCCAAGGTACTGATCAGTCAGGGATTTGGACCGGAGCTGGGGTTTGGAATCAGGAGGGGTGGAGAACATGTATGGTAGGAGGGTGACCGAAGGCTTGGTAAAGGAGGGGGGTCTTGAGACGTGCCTTGAAGGAGGCAAAGGAGGGAATGAGGCGAAGGAACTAGGATGGATTTCTGAAGGGTGGGGTAAGAAAGGCTGAAGGCCTGATCTCCATCGGTGGGAGACATGGAACATGCCAGAGCCCGCCGAACAGAGGGAGGGGATATTTGGAGTTAGCAGGTCACAGAGGTAGGGAGGAGCAAGGACATTGAGGGCTTTTGAAGGCAAGAATGAGGATTTTGACAAGGGTTTATCAAGAACTGAAGTTGGCTCACTTGGTTTCCGATAAGTCTGAACTTTCTAAAACTTGTGAAAGTGAGCTCACAACTCTACTGGGTAAATTTACCACATGCTAGTACTGAGTCAGATGCACCAGGTTTTATCTTTTATTTGTGCCGGGTTTAATTCATGTATGGCAGGGCAATGCTTACAGTACTACAGTTTGTCTTGGTGCTGCAATAGAAGGGCAGGGCAATGCTTTGACTAATGCAATTGGCCTCGGAGGGAAGAAGTTGCCACCATGCACAGAAAGGAATTTACATTATATTTTTGAGTCTTACCGTAGCAGGAGGTTGCCTGTTCATATGCCACTGTTTTCCATGTTGCATCTTTTCCACTCTTTCTGTCAAACAATGCTGAGAGTTCATGTCTTCTTAGTTATAGAGTTCATACTTGGATAATTCTTTACACTTCATGGGGGATGGGGTTGACAGAGAGAATGAGCGCTTAATGGCAGGTAGGATCCCTGCTGCTCTTTGGAGAGGTTGCTCTCTAATTCTTGGTGGACAAGTCAAAGGGAGGAGAATTGAGTCAAGGTTTATGCATGTCATGTTTCAAATGGTGTTCTTGACCATAATTTCACACTTTGTAAATGCTTCATCTGCAGCTTTTTCTGTAGCCTATGCACGTATAAAGCCAAGTAGATAGAACTCCTCCCTGGTGGCTTTTGGTATGTTTGACTTCAACTGGATGGATCTGAGTTTTTTGTGGAATGTTGGGAGTTTTCTTTCTATTGAGCAAAACAGAAACTGAACAAACCTCAGTGTCACAGTGAGGTTCTCCCTGTGGATGGAAAAACTGAAGCACACATGGCTGTGGTTAGGGAATGAATGATAACCGTGTTCATTCTCCTGCATGTGCTTTTCCTGCTTAGCATTTTTTTTGTGTTCCTAAGTAGTCTCCACTTTGTATGTAATTATATGCAGTTGTCTCACGGGTAAAAGTTAAAATTCTGGATTTCTGCAGCAAGAGATATTTGCAAGAATTTAAAGTGTGCATAAAGATGTGACTTTCTCTTAACAGGAGCATTGTAGTGCTACTTCTAGTGCTGCTTTCTATATCACAACTTGCTTTATGTTATCTAAACCAGCGATCTCTGATGGTCAGCTTGAAAGGTCACTGGAAAAAGCAGCTGGTGAGTGATTTTTTAGGGTTAACATGTGACTTCTGAAAAGTCATATGAACATGCAGCACAGAAACAGGCCATTCGGCCCAACTGATCTATGCCGGTGTTTATGCTCCACATGAGCCTCCTCCTGCCCTTCCTCAACTAAGCCTTCAAACGTAACCTTCTATTCCTTTCTCCCTCATGTACATATCTAGTTTACCCTTAAATACATCTATGCTATTTGCCTCAACAACTCCTTGTGGTAGCAAGTTCCTCATTCCCACTACTCTCTGTGTGAAGACATCTCTTCTAAACTTCCCTATTTGATCTATTTGTGACTGTTTCATATTGATGGCCCCTGGTTTTGGTCTCCCCCACAAAACCTCTATCAGGTCACCCCTTACCCACCTCTTTTCAAGAGAAAAGAGTCCAAGCCTGTTCAGCCTTTCCTGATAGGTATAACCTCTCAGTTCTGGGATCACACTTGTGAATCTCTTTTGCACCCTCTCCAGTGCTTCTACATCTCTTCTATAATGTGGGGACCAGAACTGCCCACAGTATTCTAAGTGTGGTTTAACCAACGTTCTATAGACGGCTTTTCATTTCTATCCCTCTAGAAATGAACCCCAATGCCTGGTTTGCTTTTTTTATGGCCTTATTAACCTGGGTTGCTACTTTTAGTGAATTGTGTATGTGTACTCTTAGGTCCCTTTGCTCCTCTACCCCAGTTAGGTTTTTATTTTCCAATTACTTCTGATCTAATAAACCTTGCATTTGATATAGCACCTGAGCAGTTCATTGAGATGTCCCAAAGCACTTCGCGGAATATACTGTGAAGTGAATTGACTGTATATTTTGTGGCTGAAATGAAATATACAATATATTTTGTGTGCAAAACAAAATATACAATTGCCTCTAAGGCTATGGTTACATGTCCACCCATCACGATTTTAAAGTCATGTAGTTTAGGCTGGCATTCCAGTATAATCCAGGGGAGCGCTGCCTTGTCAGACGTGCTATGCTTTGGATGAGATGTTAAACCGAGGGCTTACCTTCTTGTCCAGGTGGATGTTAAAGATCCCATGACAGTATTTGAAAAGAGAAGGAAATTTCTCCTGGTGGCCTGGCCAGCAATCCCCCAGAAAAAATTGGTCATTTACTTCATGGCTGTTTGTGGGACATTGCTGGGCGCAAAATTGGCTGCTGTTTTCACCTACAAAGTACGCAATCACTACATTTTACAGTAAATACAAATAGATATATACACTGCCTTTCAAGTCAGGAGGATGTCCCAAGGCATTTAACAATAATGGCTTGCCTGTAAAGTCCTGTGAATTGCTTTGAGACATCCCCTGATGTGAAAGGCACTATATCAAATGCAAGAATTTGATTATCGATTATAGTAACAATTATTATTTGTTATCACAAATATTCAAGTGGGTGGAAGAGATTGCAGTTGTGTTTTTAAGTGTGCCGTGAACCTTACATGGTTGAATAAAATAATACTTGAGTTAAGGTATGGAATTGATATTTACTTAGTAGATTAAATAGTCACACTGTGACTAATGATTGAACTGCCCAAATTTGGAATAGAAATAAATTGAATGATGCTTTTATTAGCTGTTGGGACTCCTCATGCATTGCAATATTATGTCCAGGAACTGCAATGATACAACTTGCTTCATTTTACAAATGCTTTCTCTACGTAGGAAAACGGCCAGTCATAGTTGGAATCATCCTGTACTAATAGCCCAGTTTAGTCCAGGGCCACAGTACATCCATATTAAACTGGAGTATGTTATAACTGAGTCGGTCTATATTTTGAAAAGTTACTCTTCCTTCAACATTATCAGCTGACTTAAATTTCACTTAGTGGTAACCCTATAATTCTGACAGTAATTGGTAATTCTGTTATTCAAACTATCTTGGCAGAGTGCAGTAGTTGTTTTATATGTTGTTTCCAACAAGAGAATGAATGGCAATTCAAATCTTTAAATTTATGTTTCCAGTTCCCAACCGCCCTCAGCCCTGAAGTGAGGCTTCTGCAATGTATTTTTTCTTAAAAAATCCTTGTATTTGACATATCGTCTTATGTCATCGAAACATCACAAAGTGCTTCACAGGATACACTGTAAAGTGGATTGACTGTGTTTTTGTGGGAGAAAAGTGGTAGCCAGTGTGCGCACAGTAATGTTCCACAACAGCCATGGAGTGAGTGACCAGGTTTATTTGGGGTATTGTTGGACAGGACACAGGGAGAAACTTTTTTTCAATAGAGGAATCGAATCTTCAACATCCACCTGAACAGACAGACAGGACCTCAGTTTAATTTGTCATCCGAAGGATGGTAACTCTGACAATGCAATGTTTCCCGGCACTGCATTGGAGTGCCAGCTTATGTGATTCCAAATCCCGACGTAAGGCTTGACCCACAACCTTCTGATTCAGAGACAAGCGTGACCCAGGTACCTTTTAATAAAAAAAAGGTCACTTTGAGTTCTTGGATGATCCAATGCAATCCAATCCCCCCCCCATGCAAAACATTTTAGGGCCAAGCCACTCAGGTACTCAAAAAATGTGGTTTGTCTTTTGATCATAAAGTGAAGAGGCAATTGAATTATTTTGTAACACAGTTTGTGGTGCTACTTCATGAGGAGTGTGGAGTCCTGTAGCTCAGTGGTTGAGCACTCGCTTTGCAAGCTAGAGACCTGAGTTCAATTCCAGGCAGAGCGAAACCTTGGGCAAGTTTCCTTACTCCAGACGCCTAATAATAATCCCTCCAAAACCAAAAACAATAATAAATTGGTCATTTTCAATCCATGACTGTTTGTGGGACATTGCTGTGCGCAATTGGCTGCTGCGTTCGCCCACAAATATACAGTCAATTCACTTTACAGTGTGTTCTGTGAAGCGCTTTGGGACGTCCTCCTGACGTGAAAAGCGCTATATCAAATGCAAGGATTATTATTATTATTAGTGTGCATTGCACCTAGATGTTACAGGTGGACAGAGTACATTACATTCTTTCATTTCATTTACTACAGTTCCTTACTGAAAAGAAGAAACTTCAATCTATCAAATGTTTCCAAGACTTGTGATGTTCCAAAAATTCCATTATCATATGGTAAGTAAAAAAAAAGTTATACCTTCATAATTTTTATTTAACTTTTACCACCTACAGGTTTGATTTGCCTTTCCCTTTTTTTTACTCGTAAGTCTCTTTAGTTGACCAATGGAACAGGTTAGATTACTGAGCATGGTTTCTAGTGAACTTCATAACCTGGGCCAATAGAAAATTGTGGAAATATTTGCCCCAAATTGTGAGGCATTTGATAATTTTGCAGAAAATTGCAGAGAAATTTGATAAATTTTGTGCAGAATTGCAGAGGTTTGATTGGTGCTATTGAGAGACCCAATTCAGCAGTTTTCTTCAGCCTCACTGACTGACAAGTGCACTTAAAGGCAAAGGAACTAATGAATGAAGTTTGTTACACTTTTAACTTGGAGAGGTTAGCCCTGTACTGTAGTGTGGGCTTGCTGCAGTTTCATTCGAAACGTTAGCCCATCTTTTGACCCGCTGTGGATTTTATTTTTATTTCTGATTTCCAACATTTAGTCATTTTTCTTTCTTGGAAATGTCAATCTTACTGGGAGGGTGTGGAAAGCAGTAGCACAATCTCTGCATTTAAGGTAAAAAAAAAGGTTCCCCTTTCACTTTATGGCACTATTCCAGCTCGATTGTAATGCCGCCTTTTAATTCACTTCAATCTGTTTGCCGTTCTGTTATTGCAATTCTATTTAAACAGCTGCTTCAGCGACACACTGTGCTACAGTTTTGCAGGTTTTCCCCATTTAGACTGGACAGATATTATTGCAGTAATAGCAACACACCAACAAGAGTGTGTGTGTATATATGTATATATATATATATATATATATATATGTGCCCATTGCAGCTCTGGTTGCAAAAGGATCTATTATGGAACGTAGACAGCCACACAGACAGACATTTCATCTAGACATTATACTCAGCTGGGAGGACTGCTGTGGGAGGACTCCTTTAATATATTCTCTCTCTCAGTCTATCTCTCTCTCTCAGTTTCTCTTTCTCTCTCAGTCTCTTTCTCTTTCTCCCAGTCTCTCACTTTCTCAGTCTCTCTCACTCTCTCAGTCTCTCTCACTCTCTGTCTCTCTCACTCTCACAGCTCTCTCAATCTCACAGCTCTCTCTCTCTGTCTCTCTCTCTCTCAGTCTAGCTCTCTCTCAGTCTTTCTCTGTCTCTCCCACAAAACACACAGTCACTACACTTTATAACATATAGCTGGACCTGTTGCAGCTAACATAACGTGTAGAAACAGGAGAAGGCCATTTGGCCCTTCGAGCCTGCCCCGCCAATCAATCATGGCTGATCTTCTAATCTAACTCCAGCTAATAACCTAACCCTGCCTTATCCCCATATCCCTTAGTCCCTTTCGCAATAAGAAATATATCTATCTCAGTCTTGAAGATGTTCAAGGACTGAGCGTCAACAGCCCTTTGGGGTAGTGAGTTCCATACATTCACCACCCTTTGAGCGAAGAAGTTCTTCCTCAACTCAGTGCGAAAGGGCTGGCCTCTGATTTTAAGGTTGTGACCACTGGTTTTAGTTTCTCCAACCAGGGGAAACAATCTCCCACTATCTACTCTATCATGCCCTTTGATGATCTTATAGGTTTCTATAAGATCCCCTCTAATTCTTCTATATTCTAGAGAATATAGGCCCAAATTGGTCAGCCTATCCTTGTAACTCAACCCCTTCATCCCTGGCACTAGCCTAGTAAATCTACGCTGCACCCCCTCCAAGGCAAATACATCCTTCTTTAAATAAGGAGACCAAAACTGCACACAGTATTCCAGGTGTGGTCTCACCAGGGCCCTATACAGTTGCAGCAAGACTTCCCTACTCTTATACTCTAATCCTTTCATAATGAATGCAAACATACTGTTTGCCTTCCCAATTGCTGCTGCACCTGCAGACTAACTTTCTGTGATTGGTGTACAAAGACACCCGAGTCCCTCTGGACGCCAACACATTCCAGTCTCTGCCCTTTTAAAAAATAACCCGCTCTACTGTTTTTGCTACCGAGGTGGATGACTTTGCACTTCCCTACATTATACTCATCTGCCACCTACCTGCCCAATCACCTAACCTATCTATGTCGCACTGCATTTTTTAATGTGACCCTCTGTGTTGACACTTCCTCCTAGTTTTGTGTCATCCGTGAATTTAGATATATTAACTTCGATGTCCTCATCTAGATCATTGATATAGATGGTAAATAGCTGAGGCCCAAGGACTGATCCTTGTGGCACTCCACTAGTCACATCCCGCCAATCTGAAAAGGACCCGTTTATCCCTACTCTTTGTTTCCTACCCGTTAACCATTCCCTATTCGATGTTAATATGCTCCCCCCAATTCCGTAGGCCCCTATCTTTTGGTTTAACCTTTTATGCGGCACCTTATCGAATGCCTTCTGAAAGTCCAAATAGACCACATCCACTGATTCACCCTTATCTAGTTTACTGGCAATATCCTCAAAAAACTCTATGCGATTTGTCAACTATGACTTCCCTTTTGTAAAGCCATGTTGACTTGGCCCTAATTATATTGTGCTCCTCTAAATACCGCACTACCACATCCTTATTCAACAATTCTAAATTTTTTCTTATCGCTGATGTGAGACTAACTGGCCTATAGTTCCCCATCTTTTCCTTTCCACCTTTTTTAAATAGTGGTGTGACATTTGTGATCTTCTAATCCATGGGGACTGTTCCAGAATCCAAGGAATTTTGGAAGATCAGACATAAGGCCTCCACTATCTCATAAGCTACCTCTTTTAAAACCCTGGGATGCAAGCCATCCGGACCAGGGGATTTGTCACTTTTTAGTGCTAATAATTTCCCTAACACCAATTCTCTACTAATGAAAATTTCCCTAAGTTGCTCCCTGTCCTTATCCCTTTGGTGCATCTCTATTGTTGGCAGACTTGTTGTGTCTTCTAGGGTGAAGACAGATACAAAGTACCCATTTAGGGACTCTGCCATGTCCTTATCCCCCATTACAACTTCTCCCATCTCTGACTGAAGTGGACCTACATTTACCCTCACTAGCCTATTCCTCTTAATATATTTGTAAAAACTTTTACAATCAGACTTAATGTTCCTAGCTAGCTTACCCTCATACTCCATTTTCTCGCTCTTAATGAGTTTTTTAGTTTTATTTTGCTGGTTTTTAAAACTCTCCTAATCTTCAGATTTGCCGCTTTTTTGGCAGTTTTATAAGCCTTTTCTTTTAATTTGATGCTTTCCCTAACTGCTCTAGTTAGCCACGGATGAATTGCTTTCCCTGTGGTACTCTTATTCCGCAAGGGAATATGCAACCCCTGAGAATTTTGCACTAAATCCTTGAATATTTGCCACTGTTGGTCTACATTTGTACCTCTTAATCTTATTCTTCAGTCTATTTTACCTAAATCTTTTCTCATACCAAAAAATTAGCCCTATTTAAATTCAGAATACTTGCCTCGGATTTAACTATATCCCTCTCTAACTTAATGCAGAATTCAATCATATTGTGATCACTCTGTCCCAGAGGATTCTTAATACCTACACTGCCAACTTGCCCTGTTTCGTTACACAAAACAAGGTCTAGGATGGCCTGCCCCTAGTTGGTTCCTCGGCATGCTGCTCCAGAAAGTTATCTCTCATACATTCAATGAACTCTTCTTCTGACCTACTTTTGCCGATTTGGTTTTCCCAATCTATGTCGCGATTGAAATCACCCACTATTATCGCTTGACCTTTCCTACATGTGCCACTGATTTCTTGATTGATAGCCTGTGCTAAATTGTGATCGCTGTTTGGGGGTCTATAAACCACTTCCATTAATATTTTCTGCCCTTGATTATTTTTTATTTGCACCCATATTGTCTCGACCTCCTGGTCATCGGATTTCAGATCCTTCCTCTTCACTGCTTTTATTTCATCCCTAATTAACAGGGCTATCTCCCCACCTCGTTTCCCACAGTACCTATCTTTCCTGTAAACTGAGAACCCTGGAATATTTAACTCCCACCATAGATCTCCTTGTAACCGTGTTTCAGTGATGGCTACTGGATCGTACCCATATGTGTCTATCTGTGCTTTTAATTCGTCAGTTTTATTCCGAATGCTTCGCGCATTCAGATATAACATTTTTAATTTCCTACCATTTCCTCTACTCTCTGAGTCCTTATCTGCTTTGCCAAGCTTCTTACCCCTACTTAACATATTCCTATTATCTGGCATGCCATTCTGCACTGTCATCTTTACTTTTTCTAATGCTAACTTATGGTTTCTCGTACTTATATATTCCCCCCCTTTACCAGTTTAAATTTTTATTTACCTCCCTATTAATTCGTTTAGCTAGGACATTTGTCCCAGCCCGATTTAAATGCAGCCCATTTCTCTGAAAGAGCTCTCTTTTCCCCCAATACTCGTGCCAATGGCCCATAAAAAGAAACCCCTGAGTTTCGCACCACTCTTTTAGCCATGCGTCCAAGTCCTTAATTTGTTTGTTCCTGTACCAATTGTTGTATGGTACAGGCAGTAGTCCCGATATTACCACCTTCGATGATCTTGACTTCAATTTGGACCCCAGCTCTTTGAATTCCCTTCTCAAGTCATCTTGGCCAACTCTGCCGATGTCATTGCTACCTATGTGAAGTACCACCAACGGATCCTTGCCCTCGTATTTTAAATTATCCTCTAGCCCTGCCGAGACATCCTTCACCCTGGCCCCAGGGAGGCAACAAAGCCTTCGTTTCGGTTCTTCTGGTTGGGGTTGCAGATGATTGTGTCTGTCTGTCTAATAGTCTCATCCCCAATGACAACAACCATCCGCTCGTTTGCCCCAATGTTAGAGGTAGTTTTTCCTTCCACCTCACCGGCTTCCTTATCGATACAAGTTCCAAGGATCTCATATCTATTGCTCAAGGTTAATGCCGGATTTACTACCACTTTTTCCGTTGTCCCCCTGACCTCCTGACTGTCCATTGATCTATCCTGACCATAACCAATGTTGACTGTATATTCCCTCAAGGGAGTGACTGGCACCAGGATGTAGCTATCCAGGAAGCACTCACTATCTCTGATACTCCATAGTGTCTGCACCTCGGATTCCAGCTCTCTGAGCCTCAGCTGCAGACATCTTCTGCAGATGTGGTCGCTCGGGGCTCCCACATGTCACACTCCTCACATAACACCTGCCATGCCATTGTCACCACTTCCAACTTGAGTTAGTTACTTAAGTTAATTTAATTAAGTTTTAATTTAATCAAGTTGATCCAATTAAGTTGATCAAGCTAAGTTAAATCAATCAAGGTAAGTTAATCAAGTTAAGTCCGTGGTGTGTGATGTGTTGATAGTTGATAGTGTTGATAGATGTCAGTGTTAGTTTACTGTTAGTCTGCAGTTAGTGTTGATACTGACGTCGCTCTGACGTCACTTTTTAATTTTCTCGCTTTTTTTTATCCTCTGCTCCTGGCTGACTGACTGATTGCTCTCCTCGCCCCTCGCTCTCGTGCCTCTGACTGACTGACTCTACGCTTGCAACCAAAGGATTCAATATAGAATGCAGATGGACACAGACAGACAGACATTTCATCTTTTATCTATATTCATCTGGGAGGACTCCTGTGGGAGGACTCCTTTTGCGAGGACTCAGTGGGAGGATTCGGCGCTTTAAAAATGTAATTTTGTTGTTGTTGCCGCAAGTTAGCTTTGGGTGTTTGTGTTCTTTATTTTGTTCCCGTCGTTTGGCTACGTGTGTATTCTGTGACGCAGGATGCCACAGCGCCATGGTCAGCTGGCGTGGCCACCAGATGTAAGTGCAGTGAGTGTGTATATACGTACGTGCTCTTTGACGCACGATGCCACAGCGTCACGTTGACTCGATGGCCACTGAGCGTGACTGCAGCGATAAATGCAAAACTGAAACTAACTCATGAACAATAGGAGATACCCAAAACCAAATATGCCCATGTTATTCCTAGATGCAAGACCTTTCCGATGAGGTATAAATCAGGTCTCTATCAATCGGTAATTGCGATCCTTCTTGAAGCGCAGACAGATATTGTTGTTTTCTTAGTATAAATATATATAGAAGATAGATAGAAGAAGTTATATATTATATATACATATATTGCATCTTTCACTCCTGGTCAATGGACCTTCCCTGATGTTTGTTTATGGTAGTTCTGCACAGCCCAGCCCAGCCATATGTAAACTGCATTGTTGGGCTGTTCAGGTTGGTTGAGACACACTGTTTGTAATCATCACCATTGGGGAAATAATTTTTGTGTGTCTCATTCGTGTACGCGCACACTCTTTTCCCTCCTCTCTCTATCTCTCTTTCTGTCTCCGTGTCTCTAAACGTACACTGTGCATAATTGGAATGGATTATTAAATAAACACTTACCTTTGCTTTGTTGGCTCGGTCACCTGTGTGACTAATTTGTAAACCCTGAATCTTGCATTTATTCAAGTGACAGAGTTCACATGTACAACACAATCCGTAGAAAATTCCAGTACAACTTATAGGAACAGGAGTAGACCATTCAACCCTTCAAGCCATTCTATTAGATCATAACTGATCTGTACCTCAACCCCAAATACCCACCTTTGCCCCATATGCCCCATTATCTGACCCCCCCTCTAAACTATCTTATGTCCTGTATTTGATTCAGATTTCCTTGATGTAATATGAAAATAAATGATTTCAATGTTCTTATACAAAACAGATGATGAAAATAGGCCATCTCCTATCAGTCCATATGGGGAAACATTCCTGTACCAACATCCAGAAGACAGTGAGGTAGGTTTGTTAATCTAAAACTATTCCCATTAGTACAGGCGAATTGAGTTATACTTTCTTATTCAGATTGTAAACTTTTATGGTACAATTGTTTATGTTATTTTCTCACTGGTTAATTTGCATTGTCATTGATGTTGATGAAATGTGAACACTGATTTGAATTGATACTGATAATCGAGACATTGCTGTGCCCCATGCTAGCAAACTAGTTAAAACCTAGTTAACAAATTATTTGTTAAAATACACAGTCAATCCACTTTACAATATATTCGCAGCTGTTCTTCCTTACCCAATTCCGGTCCCTGACCAGGACCACCTTCCTCCATCTCTGCCACATTACCCGTCCCCAACCGTGCCTAACCCCAGATGCAGCCAGGTCGGCCTGAAGATCTTCCTATTCGACCATGCCTAAGGTCACCTCCCCCTCCCCCTGGCTTGGCGTTGTGCTCCTCCACTGTCAAGCGCTCTGGGACTCTACCATGCATGAGGGGTGCTGTACAATGCAAGTTATTGTTGTTGTAAATGCTTTGATGTAGCTATCCAACCTGAATGTTGGGATGTGATATGTGTCCTGTTGACGCTTTCAAAATCATCTCTTCAACCTCCACAATAAAATGATAGAAATGTGGTCAGGCATGAGTTCTCTTTAAAAATTAATCGCTGGAACTGCTTATTATTATTGAAGTACATCAAATCAAATGTGTGTAAGTTCTGTATCTCCCATATGAAAGTATAACTTCTTTATGTCATCAGGATTTGAACAAAGTTGCTCTGTACATTACTGAAACATCGACCAGAGCGAAGAATGAAGAAATGGGGACAAACATTGACTCCAGGTCAAGAAATTATCCATTTTTATTTTGCTCTGGTTATGGTGCTGTTGCTTTTCTTTGCTACATTTGTTTTAATTAGTGTTTCTAATGGTTTAAACCTGCTGATGCATGTTATCCGAGTCTCTGAATGCATATGTGAGTGACAGATTGCCTAAAATATTTATGGGTAGAAAATCTACCTGGGCTTAGATTAGAGCATCCAGAATTTGTCAACTTCTTAAACAATTTTTATTTTTGAATCTTATTTCCTAGAAACTTATTTTCGAAGAACTACAAAAAACAGCTTTCAAAGTTAAAACTGAATTCAACAATTTTTCAGAAATACAATATTAATGAATCAATTTAACCTAGACCCAAGTGGAATTTTACCTCATTAGTTGGATAAACCGGTATATTTTATGTTAGAGTAATAAATGCTATGCATGAGGTTACCAGTGTTCCTGAAGAAGAGGCAGAACTGAGTTATGTTGGAGTTGGCCACTGATCTCTGTTAACCACAAATGGTTATAATTTATTCTCAGGAAATTCCTGACTGCAGCCAGACATGCCCCTACCAGTGGAGAGAACTAAATTGCTGCATCATAACCAAGCACTGAATCCTTCACTGTATTTTTAAAATACAGGAAACTATGAAAGCTATATTTGATTTTAAACATGCGTGCCAAGGATTTCCCAATTATTTTTATCACTTTTCCCCAAGTGAACTAAAATACAACTTTTCCTTTGTGACTTTCCTAGTTTAAAGTAAGTGTAAGTGAAACTGTATAAGTAAAGGCAACACATGAATACTTTTACCTCATGCGAACAGGAAAACCATTATTTTCTGTCTGGCATTAATTTCCATGATTTTTGTCCCATTCAAGGACAACAAACCAGGCCTGTTAATTCCTGACTGAGAAGGGCTCACGTGGTTGGAGGAGTTGAACAGACACCATAAGTTCTAGTGATTTACCTCACTGCTGTTTTGGAAACAGAATCTGGCTTCAGTCCATTAGCATGCATCAGTCTTGGGCTTTTTTTACCACTCAACCTTCTCCCGTGGTCTCCAGTTCTCCCTTAGATTAACACTATGCAATTGCAGAGTGTGCGTTTTCAAACAGCTGCATCTCACAACTGCCTGGATGTCAGTGAAGAGCATCTGGTCTGCTTTCCCCCTACGGTTTAGTGGGAAAAGGCACTGCTAATTGCAGCATTAGCTCATGCAGGTCAGAAGGTCAGAGGCTCGGATCCAGTCAATGCTGATTTTGCTTATCAGTTGATGTGCTATAATTGACATTCCCATTCTGGATTAATGAGGGAGACATAAGCCTGAATTTCTCTCATGATTACTATCCTGACACGCTTACTGGAAGGTGCACAGGTGACGATTGGATTAGGCTTGGCTGTTTTGTCTTTCATGGCCCAATATTCCTTATGAACAGTATATTTTGAAGTTGGGACAGCCTTCTGACGTGAAACTTTAAGAATTTTTTTATCTAAGATATTGTTATGAAGTCTCCAGTTTGCAGGTGTTGCATGTTGGAGAAGTAAATCTGAACCGTGAACATATAAATATTTATCCACTGATAAGTGGAAAAGAAAATGATGTAGTTATTAAGCAGTCATTCTCAGGTGGTTATTACCAAGGATCGTCAAGTGCTGAAAGTATCTAAAGAGGATCTAACTATCCAGCAAATTGAACCAGGTTTGCTCAAGCTATATTGACCATTAGCGAGGGCAATTTTAGAATATTAGAAGAAAGTTTGTTCACTGACACATTCAACAAGACCTTGAAGGATTAGAGTGTTTAGAAAAAGGCCAGCAAAAATGATTTGACTTGAACTTGAAGTGACTCACAGAGTTGAGCCTTCTAGAATAGCCAACTATCACATTCCTATTACAGCTTCAAGCTGTTTCTTAAATAAGTATGACATCCATTTAATGGATTCAGATCTTTTCTCCATATTGACCTTTGTCTCAGCTGGCAACACACTCAAAGCATTTAGTTGGTACTCGTTCCAATTTAAAAACCCTTTATTGTTTTGATTTTTTTTCCCCTTACCCCTTTTAGGATATTACGTGGCACTACATACCACTTCTCTTTTTCTCCTTACGGCGCCAACATTTTTAAAGAAAAATTGAAATGATGAAATTTACAACTGATCTCATATCTTTATATAATATTGACTACTGTTGCAGGTTACAGTTATATCCAATTGGGCTGAATAGCTTATTTCTATGCAATATCATTCTATGTTATGCGAATTGAGGCTGTCAATTGCTCAACATTTTGTTACTCATTCTCAAGGCTACAACAATAACAACAACAAATTACATTTGTATTAGCGCCTTTCATGTCTGGAGGACGTCCCAAGGTGCTGGACAATCAGTGTTTCGGACCCGAGCTGGGGGTTGGGATCAGGGAGGGTGGAGGGCAGTGGATGGGGGAGAAGGGTGGCCGAAGGTACGGTCGAAGAGGAGGTTCTTGAAATGGGGTCTCAAGATCATTTTCAGGAAGAGTAATCTTGTATTTTTTTAAATTTTATTAACAGGAACCATGATCAGACCAAATTGTGTGCCGATCATGATAAGCAGAAATCTTCACACTTGGGTGGTTGTTCGACAAAGAAGGACTCCAAGACTGAACATTCTACAGTGGATAACAGTGTCTGGAAGCTTAGATCTGAATATACTACAACAGCTGAAGTCTATGAGAGCGTGCAAGCAACAAGTACCAGCAATTTTGCATATAGCGAAGGTCACCCAATGCAATTTGACTTGGGAAGACGATCCCTAAACAGTGATTCAGATATTCACAGTGACGTAGAAATATCACCCTACGCTTGCTTCTATGGTGCAGCAAAGAGTACAAAAGAAGGCTGGCTGGATAAGCTTTCACCACAAGGGTATATAAATACCATATTTTTTCTATCTATATTTTAAAAAAGGGTTATGATCATTTACTTCTCTAGTGTTTTCTTTGAATTGGAAGGATGCTGCTGTAATAACAGTAGTAAATTTTCTTGAATTTATAGTTACTTTTAACAATTATGATGAGGATCTCTTTTGTGGATTCAAAATTGCTCCACTGTGTACATAGGTTAGATATGTCATTGCAATGGAGTAACAAGACCTGATTAACCATCTTTAAACATTAGAGGATTGTGTTGGATTGTTTGACCCTAGCTCAATATGGAGTAAAACTATTAAGGTTATTGAATAATGTAGTATAAAAAAACTCTATAATGTAAACCCATGCAAAATATTGTCCCATGTTTATGTTCTTAATGACTGAGTGGATCATTAATTATTATAGCATTATTGAACTAATTATTTGGAATTGCTCTGCTGTTTTTCCATTTGTACTTCCATTGCATTCGCACAGAAATCTCATTGTATTTGCACAGAAATTGTGCACCTTCTTGCCTGAACAAGAAACACACTCCCTACAGTTAGGCGATTCAAGGGCAAGAGGACATGAATTCAAGATTATTCCTTGGGGAGGTTTGGAAGAACTTGTTTTCCCAGTGGGTTTTCAGATTGTGGAATGATTTGCAACTGCTGCCTGTTAGAGCAGTCGATTGGGGCATTCAGAAAATAATTGGACCACGTAATTGGTTTCTGTATGTGTCAGACACCTGGCTGACCAAATAAGAATGGATAGCTTCTTGGAGGAGCAAACACTGATACAACGTGTGTGATATATTTCTCCCCCCACACACATACAAGCACAGTGGGCCATCCTATTTAGATTTAACCCATTTAATTTATCCCCCTCGCCTCACACTGATATTAACAGTTGTCTATAGTTATTTCCCTTATTGCCTTCTGCACAGTTACCCACCTTCTGGAATTTACATAGTCTTTTTAGACGTTTATACAAAAATTGACTTTCCTGCAGTACCTTCTTAAAATTTGCAGTTCTGGAACTTTTTACTTGCCTCCTGCAATACAAATTATGCTAGATTTGTTGCAGAAGCATTTACCTAATTATAATAAACTGATATCTAGTTTATATAATGCTTATAAAATCAGTATAAATTTGGGTTGTGTCGCATAATCTGGTAACTAATCTCATTGGAGTCTGGCTGCTGAGACCTTGTGGAGAAGCTGTTATCAGTAGCACATTGATTTGTAGATTGGTGCAGTATAAATGCTGGTCTATGTAGATGAAGAGAGCACGTGTTATAGGTAGTGATATTGAACCTTGAACAGAGCACTTGGAGTGTCACATACAATTCCGGCAGCATATTGTGTTAGGACATCTTGGTATTGCAGAGGGTTTAGCAAAGGGCAATGACATTGTTGCTTAGGGAGACAGTGTCAACAAATTCCAAAGCAAGTTAAATAGCTATTTGATGAAGAAATCGATTAAGAGGTGTGAATATAGGCACCAGGTGAATTGCGATGTATTTGTTGGTCCTGTACATGCCTATTTTCCTACAACAACAACAACAACAAAAAAATTACATTTATAGAGCGCCTTTCACGTTGGGAGGACGTCCCAAGGTGCTAGATTTTAGCTGTGTTCAGAAATGGTCTTATCAAAATTCTTGGACGTCTGGGTGTGTCACTCAGTTGCTTTTGCACAGACCACACCTAGCAAATACGATTAAGAACAAAGTAGATTTATTGGACTGCCCACTCCTTACCCCTTCCCTGTTAACCCATCCTGGTCGGGCTCCCATCACTTCAACATGAAGCACTTTGGATTGCGAGCGACCCTACCTCTTTGACTGCATCTATCGTCGCCTCTCCCTTTTCCTTGCTTGGCGTCCAACCCCACCACTGTGCAGCACTCTGAGACACTCTCCTGCGTAAAGGGCACTATATAAACGCAAATTGTTTTATATGTTAAAATGACTATGTAAACTTTAACCCTAGAACTAATTTTAATTCCAGGAGTATAAAAAAATGATATTTTTCACCCACTGGCTCTTATTTGCCCCTTTCTGTAGACATCTGATAAAAACCGAAACACTCTATATGTTTCCATCCTATTGTATAGTACTTCTGCACTGCAGCAATAGCATAACATTCATATAACATTGTGAATGTTATGCTATTGCTGTTTGTGACCTTGAAGAAAGCATTTTTTTTGTTCACTGCAGGAATGAGTTTAGGTGCACAAAAATGATTTGTGCAATAGGCAGAAATCACTCTTCCTCAAAGCAAGTTGATAGTTGTGCATGAATGCCTTAAGCCTAAGTATTATCGACCAATTGAATCAAAACATCAAACAGGCAGCAAAACTGACCTCTGTACATGATCAACCTGGTGAGAGGTAGCCTTTTCTTTGCTCAGCTGGAAGCCAAGCAGAAACAGTTTCTAGCTGTGGGAATATAGCTGTCTGAAGATAAACATTCATACAATCATAGAATTGTACAGCACAGAAGGAGGCCATTCGGCCCATCATGTCTGTGCCGACTCTTTGAAAAGAGCACACAAAATCAATCCCACTCCTCCGCTCTCTCCCCATAGCCCTGCAAACTTGTCCTCCCCAAATAATTACCTATTTCTCTCTTAAAAGCTGTTATCGAATTGGCTACCACCAACCTTTCAGGCAATGCATTCTTGGCATTTTTATTGTAACAACAGCAACTTGCATTTAAACAATGCCCTTCACGTGGGGTAGTGTCTCGGATCAAGCAGTAATCTTGAAAAAACCCTCCCTTGATGCGTCGCAGCTTTCAAGCTACCGGCCCCTCCAACCTCCCCTTTCTGTCCAAGGTCCTGGAACGAGTTGTCGCCTCCCAGCTGCGCTCTTTCCTCTCCACCCATTCACTATTCGAACCCCTTCAGTCGGGTTTCCGTGCTGCCCATAGCACAGAAATTGCCCTGGTCAAGGTCACCAATGATATCCTGACCATCTGTGACCAGGGCTCCCTCTGTCTCCTCGTCCTCCTCGACCTATCGGCAGCATTCGATACGGTCGACCACGCTATCCTCCTCCACCGCTTGTCCTCCCACCTCAACCTTCCTTGAGTGGTTTAGGTCGTACCTCTCCCACCATCTTCACTATGTTTCCACGAATGGCTTTTCCTCCAGCCCCCGCACTGTCTCGTGTGGTGTCCCTCAAGGCTCTGTCCTCGGTCCCCTCCTCTTCACCCTCTATATGCTCCCCCTTGGTGACATCATCCGCAGACATGGGGTTAACTTCCACATGTATGCGGATGACACCCAACTCTACCTTTCCTCCTCTACCCTCAACTCCACGACCACCGATGTCCTGACAGCTGCCTGTCCGACATCGAGTCCTGGACGAGAGACAACTTTCTTCAGCTCAACGTGCGCAAAACTGAGGCCCTCCTGATTGGCTCACGTCAGCGCCTCCGCACCTCAGGCGCTGACAGCATCAGCATCCAAGGCTGCACTCTCCACCTCTCAAAGCCGTCAGGAACCTCGGGGTTCTGTTCGACACTGAGCTGTCCTTTCTCCCTCATATCTGCGCCACAACTGGCACCGCCTTCCATCACCTCCGGAATATCGCCAGACTACGGCACTACCTCACCCCTCACGCTGCTGAAACTCTGGTCCACGCCTTTGTCACCTCAAGGCTGGACTATGGGAACTCTCTCCTCGCCGGCCTTCCCGCCACCTCCCTCCACAAGCTGCAGGTCATTCAGAACTCTGCAGCTCGTGTACTGTCCCGCACCAGGCTTCGGGACCACATCACTCCCACCCTCGCTCGCCTCCACTGGCTCCCCATCCCCAGAGGATCGAATTCAAGATCCTCATCCTCACCTACAAGGCCATTCACGGCCTCGCTCCCTCCTACCTCTCCAACCTACTATCCCCCTACCTACCTGCCCGTACCCTCCGTTCCTCTGGCTCCGGTCTGCTCCACATCCCCCGCTCCAACCGCCCTACCATCGGTGGCCGGGCCTTCAGCCTCTCAGCCCCGAGGCTCTGGAACTCCATCCCCCAGTGCCTTCGCCGCCTCCTCCCTTTCCTCCTTCAAGGCCGGTCTCAAGACCTTTCTCTTTGACCGTGCCTTCAGCTCCCCTCTCGACTCTCTACCCCCTCCTCGCTCCCTCCCTTCCCTCCCCTCACCCTGACCATTTCCCCCCTGCTCGGGTCCTGACCCAACTGTACAGCGCCTTGGGACGTCCTCCTGACGTGAAAGGCGCTCTATAAATGGAATCTTGTTGTTGTTGTTGTAATCAAGCAGCACACAATATACTTAGTTTCTTGCTAAAACAATTGATCTTTTTATACACATGTAGTCCATTTTTAAGCCATGGGATATGGGGGGAGCGGGGCGGAGTGGGTGTGTATTGGGTCTTCTTTATGATACATTATGTTCATGCTACGTATTATTTCATGAGGTTGTTGTGTTGGCCTTACCCACTTCCTTTGCTTGTAACCAAGAGTTGATTGCACAATATTGTTTGTGGCTTACAAAATAAATGGGGCAAAGGTTAACATGATTGTTTTCCAGAATGCACAGGTTTGTAATGCAATTGTGTTGACATTTACAGATATCCAGTAAACCTGGCCAAACCTGCTGTACTTCGTGTACTGCTTGATTATTTCCACTAGATGTAGTTAATGAGCTGTTTAAATGTACGAAGGCCTCATGGCGTGCAGCCCTGACTTTGTTAATCGTGACTGGATTTCAGCCTCTTATTTGCTAACCGAGATTGAAAAGAAAGCCAAGTTCTGGGATTTGGAACAATTTATTTTTTTCTGGTTTCATCGTGTTGCCAAAGAAATGGCATTTTCATTAGGGTTCATATTCAGGTTTTAATAGTGTGAGAAATATACTCTGTACATCAGGCCCATTTCTCTATTACCTGAATGCTCTTCTCAATAATCCAAACTAGGAGTTTGATTATTGCCAACTGATCCTGTGCCTATATCTAAGGCAGATTGATACAGTGCCAAATACCTGATATTGTGGAGAATTTTATCTCTAGAGGCAGCTGCTCCTACCTTCAGAAGAGGAAAGCTATGCTTTACCTTAGCTAGTGTACATTGGGCTTACAGTTATTTCTGGGTGTCCGAGCAGCAATTAATCTACTGCACTTTTTTTTCAAAGAAGTGAATGTTTTGAAATCTGCATGGCCTGGAGAGGGAACCATTCCCCAGAGTTGGGGGAGTGGAGGGGACTTTTCAATCCCAAACTTGTATTCAGGAGGCAAAATTACTGCAATTGCTGGTCTTTTGTCACATATTACTATAAACATTTAATATAAAAATAAACATTTGATGTAGCATATTATCATGTTGATGCACTTTAAATGCTTCACAGACTGTTCTACATAATGCAGTAATTATTTGTAGGCTAACATGGCAGCCAGTTTGCACACATCAATGTCCCACAAATAGCTGTGAAGCGAATGACTAATTTTCTATCTGGGGGATTGTTGGCCGGGACACTGGAAGAAACTCCGTTCTCCTTCCAAAATGTTGACAGGATCTTCCAGACTCTGGAACTCTATCCCCCAGTGCGGCTCTGGAACTCTATCCCTCAGTGCCTTCACCACCTCCTCCCTTTCCTCCTTCAAGGCCGGTCTCAAGACCTTTCTCTATGACCGTGCCTTCAGCTCCCCTCTCGACTCTCTACCCCCTCCTCGCTCCCTCCCTTCCCTCACCCTGACCATTTCCCCCTTGCTCGGGTCCTGACCCAACTGTACAGCGCCTTGGGACGTCCTCCCGACGTGAAAGGCGCTCAATAAATGGAATCTTGTTGTTGTTGTTGTTAAAGTCCACCTGAACAGGCATACGGTACATCAGTTTAATGTCTCATACAAAGGGCGGCACCTCTGACAATATAATGCTTCCTCAAGTCTGCATTGGAGTGTCATCCTAGACTGTAAGCTCAAAGCCCCTGAATTAATTCTTGCAGTATGTGTTTTGCCCCCGTTTTGTGTTAAGAAAATTGTTCTTTTTTTTTCTTTAGATATATAATGGAGTGAATTCCTTAATGTCAAACTATCTTATTATTAATCTTGTGCCTTGCAAATGCAATCATGACTGCAGACTACAAGTATTTGGCCTGAATAGAAGGATATATTTTTAGTATGTTCTCATCTGTTCTCTATCTAGATCCTGATATTTCTGGGTAGCTGACACAGGTCAGGTTATGTATGGTACTATCATGCTGGATATTAAATTGTCCTGTTGCAAACATCCTTTTAATGAAGAGATGCTTCTGTTGCACTGAATTGATGAGGTCTATTTTATATTGCTCATAAATTGAAATGATTTTGTTATGAATTTTTCTATCTATCTTCTGCAGCCTTAAAATGGCGATATCTACATTCCATATACTTGTTGAATCAAGGTTGTAGGAGCACAAAATAGTCTGTGTAAATCTATTACCCGTTAGTCCTGTACAGTTTCTCCACATTGTAGTGTGCTTTTGAAACCCAGAGTCAATATCATACATCATGGTTCACCCCAAAACACACAGTCGTTACACTTTATAATATATCTTGTAAAGTGCTTTGAGACATCCTCTTGACGTAAAAGGAGTTATATCAAATTAAGGATTATTATTATTGTCAGCATTGCTGCCAATTATGTTTGTCACCTTGTGTTTAAAAGCAAATTCAAACTTCTTAAGGGAGAGTAACAGAACCACTGAAACTATTAAAGCTTTATAATACTTTAGCTTCACTGTTAGTGGTTTCAAGATCCTCACACTCGTGTATAAATCACACTCGCCTAGCACCTCATGATCTCTCTGACCTGCTTACATCCTACTCCTCCACCTGTCCTCTTCTCTCAGCGGGCTCTGACCTCCTGCACATCCCTTGTTCTCTTGGCTTCAGCAGCAGCGGCTGTGCTTTCAACCACTATGTCCTAAAATTCTGGGACTCTTTGTCTCAATCCCTCCACCTGAAGACTTTCCTCTTTGACTGTTGTTGTAATGAAGAACAGCCTTAACCACATAAGCACATTGACTTCTCTCTTTCTTCCCCTCCCTTATTATAGGAATTGTATGTTCCAGAAGCGCTGGGTTAAGTTTGATGGTGACAATTTGGCCTACTACAACAATGAGAAGGTATGTGAATCGATGCGTTACACTGATATTGATAAAGGCAACCTGTATTTCAACCGGCTATTTAAAATTGAAAGCTGTCAACATCAAATAACTAACTTTCGATTGTAAAATATTTGTAATTTTAATAGTGATCATTTTACTTTATTTGTCCTGATATTTAAGATAAGTAGATAGGTAGACATAATTGTATGACCAGTGGTACATCAACATTACCTTTTTTGCGGTTGAAGAGTGCAAGAAGATGCAAAAGAGCTTCAGTTTTGGTGAGGTTCAAACCCGTATCCCCAAAGAGACTGGAGCCTTAATTCAGCATTTTAGCCTGCTGTTCAAATTGAACTCAATTTGTCTTTCAGTGTCAATATCTTGAATCTTTAATGAATTGGATGAAATTCAGCGTGTATCTTTACTGTGCAAATTGCTTTTGAGATGGCGTACATCCCTCTGGTGAAATCGAGGTGACTGTCCTCACTGGATCAATGTTAAATCCAATTACTAAGGAAACATTTAGTCGAATTACACATAACTTAATATATAGGCACAAAAGTGCAGGCTACATTGGAAAACTCTTCTGATGAAAGTCACAATGGTCATCTTTGCTACATCTTTGAGTAACTGGAGAAATTTAGCAGTTTCTCACCAAATTGTGTAGATGATTCATTTGATGGATCATTTTGAAAATAACTTTGCTTCTTTAAATCTGGAGAGCCTGATTGGAATTTTGTATGCCCTCCATATCTTAAAAATATTCCTATTTGGTAAATTTAATAGTCTTCTTATGCTGTTACTCTAGGAATTTACAGTAATAAACCTAAAATATAAATGAAAAGTGCTCAGATTAGGCTCTGAATCAACCTATAAAAAGACTTTTACACGTGTCAGAAATCTGACCTTTTATTACAGACGATCAAGAAAAAGTGATTTCTTTAGCTTTAACAGAAGATCACAAATTACGTTTATCAGAGTAATATAAATTAAATATAAATTAAATATCAATATCAAAACATTCCTAGTAATTGCATTCCTGCTATTAACTATATTTGATGGTCACAGTTCATCTTTATAGGTTTAAGTATTAAATTTGGTCACCAACCATCAACATGTAAACTGACCACTGTCATTGGGATAGCAGTACCATTAATTTTAATTTTCCTTCGCTATCCTGCACAGTGCTAAGCTGATTCACAAAATCTAACGCTTTGAATTGTAAAATTACCTACAAAATACAGTCACGACACTTCACATTGAAATCCTATGGAGCGCTTTGAGATATCTTGACTGTGCGATAAAGCACTATAAAAATGCAAGGATTATTACTATTATAAGATAAAAAGATTTAAAAACGTTTAGCCTAAAATCGTAAATGTACATTTTAGAGCAATATTAGTTGATGTAGTATGTACGTATTTTGTACACATGTGTATTATCTATATCATCCATTTCCTAGATCATGCTGAATTTTGCTTATAGTAAGACTCTACCAATCCTACTAAGATCTAGTAGCTGAATGGTGAACGTGATGTAGAGTGACTGACTCGTCCCAATGCTCTGAACTTTCCTAGAAAGCTCCCAATTTAACTGTCTGCACTTTTTAAAAAAATAATGTTTTTTTCTTCTCCATTACGTTGGGTAATGAAGCATACTAGTCACATAGTCGATACATTTGTTTTTTTAAAAAACTAATTTGACATTGAATCACAAATACATAATCATATTCTATACCCAGCACTTAAACAATCTCGTATTTTACTAAACAGGGAGCCCTATCGATTTCATTATTTGTTTCCGATGAACAAAGTGTCAAATAGCAGTCACGGCTTCTGAAGAAAAGCTGTGACATGAACTGTTAGTATATTAGAGGTATTAAAGCCTTAGTCAAGTTACAAATGACACTCTGTTCATCTGTGACCAGGACAAGATCTGTCTTCTCGTCCTTCTCGATCTCTGCTGTCTCAGACACTGTTGACCACTCTAATCTTCTCCACTGCGCCTCTTCTCAGCTTCACCTTCATGGTTCTGTTCACTCTTACCTTTCCCATCGTCTCCACTTTGTATATGCTAGTGGCTTCTCCTCCAGTCCTCACAACATCATGTGCGGCATTCCTCAGGCACTCTGTCTTTGGTCCTCTCCCACTTAATATTTATGTGGAGTCCTGTAGCTCAGTGGTTAGAGCACTAGCTTTGCAAGCGAGAGACGTGAGTTCAATTCCAGGCAGAGGGCGAAACCTTGGCCAAGTTCCCTTACTCCACACGCCTAATAATAATCCCTCCAAAACAAAAAACAATAATAAATTGGTAATTTTCAATCTACGACTGTTTGTGGGACACTGCTGTGCGCAATTGGCTGTCGCGTTCGCCCACAAATATACAGTCAATTCACTTTACGGTATATTCTGTGAAGCGCTTTGGGACGTCTAGAAGACGTGAAAAGTGCTATATCAAATGCAAGGATTATTATTATATTATTATGTGCTCCTGCTCAGTGATGTTATCTGCAGAGTGGGGTTAACTTCCACATGTATGTGAATGACACTGAATTCTATCTCTCTTCCTCCACCCTCAACTCCTGGGCCACTGCTGTGCTGACAGAATTTCTGTCAAACATCAAGAGCCAACTTTCTCCAGTTGAATGTCAACAAGTCCGAGGCTCTCCTGCTTTGTTCCCGTCAGCACCTCCACACCTCAGATGCTGACAGCACTATTCATGGACGCACACTCCACTTCACATATGAAATTTTCGTGTCTTGTTTGACCCTCAACTGTCTTTTAAATCCCACATTTATGCCCTGACCCATTCTGTCTTCCCTCACCTCCGCAACATTGCCCACCGCCACCACTCCCTCTCCCCTTAGGCTACTGAGACCCTCATCCATGCCCTCTTCACGTCCAGGCTTGACTATGCTAACTCCCTTCTCACGCCCTTTCCTCCACAATCCTGTTGATTATTCACAATTTTGCAGCTAATTCAAATTTAATTTTTGGAATGGTTCAGAATGGTTTTACAATACAAATTACATTTATATAGCGTCTTTCAAATTGGGAGAACATCTCAAACTCCTTGACAAAGCTAAACACTTAACAAACTTCTGACAACAAGAACTTTCCTCTCCTGCACCGAGCTCTGCAGGTCGATTACTCGTTCAAGGCCCATCACAAGATGTTGCTATTTGACCGTGCCTTTAGTCATACCTCCACCTCCATCCCTTACCCTGCACCCTCTTGACTCTAACCTCCAGCTTGGTTTCAAATCCTTGACTATCAAGCATCTTGGGATGACTTGAAAGGTGCTCTCTAAATGCAATTTGTTGTTATTGTAAAGTCATTGGAAATGATGAATCTCTTTATATCTCTGTCTCGCTCTCACTCAGCAGTCCAAGACTTTTCATAGCTTTATTATATATATAACATAAAGATGTGATTACATCTACAAAACTAATGGATTCTTATAGACTTGGATCCCCTTCATTTATAGCTGGATTGTTGAATGGTATTGCACTGACACGGATGAAAACTTTAACTAGAAATAGCTGTGCGTGGAGCAGTAATGTAGCTTCTCATTTTTTTCAGCTCTGTCTGTGGAGTATATTTAAATGAAAGATAGAAATAGAGTGAATCCTAGACATGGAGAATCCATTAAAATTCTAAGCCTAATTGCATATTTTAATACAAAAACAGCTATAAAAACTGTGGCGGCTGAGAGGTAATCCACAATGAGCAGGCTTTACTGGGAAAGATATGCTGGGCTGGGATTTAGACATTAGGCTTCAACAGAAGCATGCAACTGAGCAAAAATATTTCCTTTGATCAGCAGGCAGGTTATTTTTTGAAAAGATGAATTATCTTCCATTTGGCAGTCTCAATGTCTGTATCACTGGTCATTACACATGTGACCATATTCCTGTCATTATCAACTTGGCTCATTTGGTAGCACTCTCGCTTCTTGGTCTGAAGGTTGTGAGTTCAAGCCCCTCGGGGAACTTGTGCTCACACTCCAGGGCAGTATTGGGAAAGTGCTGCAACATTGGAGGAAATGTCAAATAAAGGCCCATTGATTGTCAGGTGGACATTACAAATTCCATGGATTTGTAATGTCCACCTGACATGTCTGCCTGGTCTGACGTATAAATCCCATACCTCAGCGATCTCCTGTTACTACTCCCCTGGCCATTCCCGCTGCCTTGCCAATTCTGACCTGCTTTATGTCCCCTGCCTGTTCTGCCCAGCCATCACTGGGCAAGCTTTTAGGTACTCTTCCCTTGCCCTCTAGCTTTTAACTTTCTAAAACTCGTCTAAACATCTCTTTGATAACGCCTTTAGCTAGTGAGCATGGACTCCCACTCAGTCTTTGCAAAGTGCTTTCAGTTGTTCTTCCTACTGGAAAAGCCTTTTATAAGTGTACTTTTGTGTTGTAAGCTGTGTATATATGGTTTCATTCTGAATGTTTCCCTGGTCTGTTTTTTTTTCCATTCACTGATGTTGGTCAGAGGATGACAGTCTGCACTGAGCGTCCTTTGTAGCTTATACTGAATTGTTTTGGACTCTTTGCTAATGTTTCCATAGTCTTCTGTCAGTGCTTATGTGATTCCCAATCTCTTGGGATTTTTGTTGGTACTATTTCAATCAATTTAGTCAAAAGACCTTTGTGTTCCACACCCATAAAGAAATATACTTCAATTCTCAGTCAGGCATGGAATTAACTGGAGCGAGGGATTACATGTGGGAGTGCCATCCAAAATCCATTGGTTCAGCACTGCTTGGCTGACTTGTAGGCTTCGGGCTCATCAATGGTTGAGCTGCCTCCACCAGCATCGATCCCAAGTTGCTAAAACTTCAGAATACCACAGAAGGCCTGAGCTTGGCCAAGTAAAGCATCCATGTCTTTAACTAATGCTGAGGCATCCCACTGGTTACAGACGTTGGTTTCTCCCAAAGAGGCAGTCTCTGAATTGGCTCTGATTGTGGATTAGATCCCAACTGCCCTCAGAGGAGCTGTATAACAGGAA